GGGGGGGGATCTGGTGCAAGGCCAGAGGGAAGTGGGGGAGGAGATGAAGGGGACGGGAGTGGGGATCCAATCGGAAGGGAGGGAGGAGGGGCCTGATGTGGGTGGGGGGCAGAATCTGCAGAGACTCGTGGACATTGGGCAGGGACCCCCGCTGGACCATGGACAAGCTTTGGTCCAAATAGCCCTGCAAAGACTGGCCAAATGGGACGGCCTGCCCACTTCACTGGTGGGAAGGGCGCTTGCAATAAATAATGCTATCCTGGCCACCATATGGTACAAAACAGCGTTTTGGCAGATCCCCACGAAGCAACTGGCGCATCTGCGAGAAGCATTGGCGGCCTATTTATGGAGCAACGATCATGCTAAAACGAAATGCATTAAAAGAGTGGCATGGAAGTACATCACCCAACCTAAGGCGGTGGGGGGATTGGGCATCCTCGACCCGGGTGACGAGATCAGAGCGCTGATGTTTAAAATAATTACTCACCTGCTGCTCGCCAATGACGTCCCTTGGCAGCCCCTGGCGTATATCCAACTGTCACACTTGGCTCCTCCCTCTCCCCCTGACCACCAGATTCACCCCCTCACCTGGCTGGTCAATTCAGCATGGTCATTGCCGAGCCCTCCGAGGCGCGAAAGGGATGGATCGCCCCGGGACAGGACCAGATGGGATCTTAAGAATGACCCACTATGGGTCACAATGGTGGAACTATGGAGACAGATGGGGCCAAAACAAAAGCCCCCCCCTCTGCGATGGCATGAGTTGTGGCGACAACTGATGTTCGGAAATCCTCACATCTGTGACGCTGCAGGGGAGCCATTCTCGCTATCGTCCGGCTCCCACTCGCTTACATGGGTTAAAAAGGGGGTCTTCACTGTAGGAGACTTATGAACAGTCACGCTGGGGCATGGAAGTCGTTACAACAGATGCGGCCCGCACTCAAAAATGTTAAAAAGCTCCAGGACAAACTGCACCAACTGTGCTCAGCAGTCCCACCACAATGGGTGGTTACGTTGCAACACGGACCATCGATAAGGACTCACGATTGGGTAACTCAAGCCGCCCCGGGCCAAATCCCGATGGTTATCTATAGGGTACTCAACGACACCCATGATGGCAAGCGACTGCAGGCCTTCGAACCGGACGTGCCAGGGGCCAGATGGGCTCCCCTAAAAAGGTCCCCTGCCTTGGACAGAACAAGCAAAGAAGATGGACTCACTAGAATTAGAGTGATGGGATCGGAAGATAAGGGATTCTACGCATATGACATGTCCACCCCCGTGGGGGCCCTACCCTTCGACCCTGACGAATGGGAGTGGAAAGGCCGTAATCCGACCCCTACCTGGCAATACACAGTTAGAGAAGGATACAAACAGGTGCATGCACGCGTCCAATCATCACCGGTTGTTTGAGAAAGGTGAAGAAGGGACTCCCCGGTGGAGGTCGAGAACCTGCGACATATCCCATGGACCGCTCACGCTCATATTATGCCCACCTTCCACAGGGCATTGCAGTGGCAAATCATACACAGGTGCCTTCCAACCCCGGACTGGGTGACAGCAAGATCCAACCTGGAACAGAAAGGGGTTCTATCCCCTATCTGCTCACAGTGCGGACCTGACACCCCTCAACGGCGTGCAGACTTGGAACATTGCCTTTTAGCCTGTCCATCGGCGATACGGATATGGCAATGGTGGGATGCAATGTGGCACACCCTCACCGGAACAGTGTTTCAGTGGGATATAGCCCTCATCTTGCTGGGGAAAAAGAATAGAATCCCACTGGCCTGGACCCCGTTCCAGAAAAATCTCTTCAAACACATGAGGCTGGCTGTCCKCATGGTCATATGGAGGATGAGGTGCTCAGCAGASAGGCAAGAGAAGACATTTGGATACTACCAGGCCAAAGCCGAACTCGTGGAAATAATGAGGGCTAACTTAGTTAAAGCCAACAAAAAACTGAGGGACGATATGAAGGACTGTCTTGACGGAGAAAAGAACCAACAGGCCATCTCAGCCTTTGCCGAACGGTGGCTTGATCCCCATCGTAAGATGGCAGAGGTCCAGGACAACGGAAAGATTATACGGAAAAACTGGGTAGCACAGGAAGATCAATGGTCCTTCCGCCACCCGAATTGCTTTTCCACACCACTGCCAGGTACTTCAACAGGGACAAGCAGGTGCAGCCAGCGCAGCTTGCGCCCGCGAACACCGTCAGGATGCAACCCCAATGAAGAATCTCACTTCGCTCTTTCTGTCTCTGACTCTATGTTTTCTTTGTTAGTGTATGGCTGGTGCTTTCTGTACCACTGTTTTAGCTCTTGGCGTCATCTGTCTTTCTAAGTGTTTGTGGAAAGCAGAATAGTAAACAGCAATGGTCACAAACAGCAAGGTCACACACGGTCACAAACAGAATAGTAAACAGCAACGACTCTTCAACGATTCAAAGAGCATTATCATCGTCACCGAGAAAGAGACGACTCTTTTTTTTTTCCTTTCTCATTTGTTTTCCCTGCTACACACACAGCGTCAGAGCTCCCTGGAACTTCGGGAGCTCGCACCAGTCTGACAGTACATGCAAAGGAGTTACCACACCCCCCCCGCCCCCTTCGCACCTCCCCACCGAGCCGGCCGAAGCACCTACCCACCACCTCCCC